GTGGGAGCCCCGGGGCAGGCACTGGGCACCCAGGGCCCAAACAGCGACAGCATTCGGGTTGGAGAACAATATTCGGGTTTAAGCACGTTAGGATTTTAAACATCAAGATACACATCATCCCTCAAAGGGAGCAAAAATTGTAAAGGCAGGCAAGGCACTGCAAAAACTCCACGCACAAACAACTGTTCCATCAGCGCACTGCCCCTGATTTTATGGGTAAGCCAGCGCCAAAAGGATGAAAGCAGCATTTTAATGAGAAGTTGCATGGAAGTTACAAGTTACAGCAGACCCCCCACCTCTGAAAGGACTCCAGGTAAAGAAATCATACAATTCCTATAACTTACAAGAGCTTATGCTATGTGAGACTGACAGACTCCTGGCTTCCAAAAAGGAAAAACTTAGTTTCAAACAAAGGAACATTTTCCAGCAATTGATTTGGGCCTTAACCCCGCTTTAAGCGCTAAAAAAAATAGCCTTCTGCACCTAGATAAATCAGAGCTCATCAGCCAAGAAGAGATTGTTGAATATTTAGTTTTAAAAAACCAAAACAATGAAATACAAGTCATAAACGTTCAGAAGATATACTAAACATTCAATGTGGAGAATACACAGATTTACATGGCAACCCTGTTCAGTACAAACAGAACGCAACTCCTGATCCAAAGCCTTGAAAAGCAGGCCATTCACTTAGTCCAGCTGACTTTAGGAATGTCGTAATGCTCAGTCAGAGTATCCAAGTGCCTGTTGAAATCCTAGGGGAGAGAAGGAGAAAGAAAACGTTTACTCTTTGCTGCTGACACGGCCACCGCTGAACCCAAGACCCTCTGCCTCCTGCTTCCGTGTTTCACGAGGGCGAAACAGTTCCTCCAGCCCAACAAGCCTGCGTGCTGACAAATACACGCCGGCCTGAGCAAACCAGGATAACTTAGCTTACCTCCACTCTCTGCTTATGGGTTTTCGACGCTTTCTTCAGGATCCTCTCCATTTGCTGGAGGCAGAGACAAGAGAGGCCAGTTACTCCCAGCGCTCGTGGCCCCTCAGGGGCCGCACCTGAGGGGTCGGCTGGGGTTTTTACATCCCCCCCCCGAGCCCCCAGACGGGGTCTGGCCCAGGCAGGGCAGCCCTACCCGCTTCTCCTGCATCTTCTCGTAGGCCACCTGCGCCGGGGTCCGCTTGTCCAGGCCGCGCTTCTTCTCCTCCTCCTGCTTCTTGCTGCTCACGATCTGCTCCAGGATCTGGGCCTTCTCCTTCGCCTTTTTCT